TTAGTCAAACTAAATAGGAAAATTGGCACTTTGTGAAAAATATGAATATTTTTAGTCAAAATATGTTGATCGAGTGGTAACATTCGGGCCAAACAAAAATAATAACCGTTAATTCAATTGCAAAGTCATAAATTTTCACAAATCGCTTGATAGTTTTGATAAGACGATGCACAAATATGCGATGAGTATTAAATTTTCTTTTGCGATGGGTATTAAATTTTCTCAGTTTCTCTTCTTCATCAACATTATTAATGTTTCACTTCAATGTTGTGTTATATACTCTACATTTGCATAAGTGACGACAAAATAACTCTTAATTTGGTACCCTATCTAGTATTATATATACGATCTAATTTTAAGGAAAGGGAAAAACATAAACATAAACAAAAACAAAAGAACAAAAAAAGTCGACTCGTTCATTTGTTTGTCATAGGTCGACCATAAGCAGACAAGGTCGGCCTGTGCTCTGCCTACGAGGTCGACCTTTTTTCCCCAGGTCGATCGCTTTGAGTAAACGATTCATACTCTAAATTCCTTGAAATCTATCATTGTAAAACTAATCAAATAAACACAAAACATTGAATATCCGAAAGAAAACAACCTAACAAATCAAAATTTAACGTATTGTCTTAATAATGTAACATTGTAACTGAATGATATCATTTCTTTACTTTTTTTGTTTGAACTCTTTCTCTCTTTGCCTCGTTCCACGCATTCATCTACTATTTGCTTGAAAATATTTTCTCGTGCACGGTATCCAAAATGTGTAGCCAAATACCATAGAATCTCCTTTCGAGTAGGTGATTTGTGTTTTTCTCCTATATGCATTATGGCATATAAGACTTCGTTGGAATAAACAAGTTTTTTGGTTGACGATATACTAACCACTCTATCAAGATCTTTGGATTCATAGCGAATCCGCTGTGCATCATGTTAAGGTCAAAACTAGGATAATTTTTAGTCAAAATATGCTAACCGTGTGGTAACATGACGAGTTGACTATTAGTCAACAATCTTGACCGTTCGACATGATGGTCAACTCTCAGTTTGGCCAGTCAAATAAAGTTTAGAGTTGGTTTAAGCTACGTTATATATTGAAAAGATTGACGAGGATCCTAAAGATGAGAAACATTCGGGACAGACAAAAATATTAACCGTTAATTCAATTGCAAAGTCATTTAGTTTTCACAAATCGGTTGATAGTTTTGATAAGACATATGCACAAATATGCATTAAATTTGATTAAATTAAAATGCAAGTTATAAAAACATTTTGATGAAATACTGTCCTGACTGACGGTCGGGACCAAAATAGTTGTAAATTATATACAACAATTACTACTTAAGGTAGCTAGTAGTGATTTTGAGAAGTCATTCAATACCTCATTATCACCGTAATGAAAGAGACCTATGAAAAAACAATTCCAACATAATATGTTGAAAGCTTTTTCTCATTAAAAAAATGTCAATAAATCATAATATTGCCGAAAGAATGAAGGAATCTGTAAAACAATAACGAAACTCACTCAAAACTCGAAAGGTAAACTTCTCCTTCTTTTCGCTCTTGATTCTTTTGCGATGGGTATTAAATTTTCTCAGTTTGTCTTCTTCATCAACATTATTAATGTTTCACTTTAATGTTGTGTTATACACTCTACATTTGCATAACTTCTGACAAAATAACACTTAATTTGTTGCCCTAGCTAGTATTATATATGTGATCTAATTTTGAGGAAAGGGAAAAAACAAAAACAAAAGAATAAAAAGAGTCGACTCGTTCATTTGTTTATCACCCGCTGAAATGGCTGTAGTAAAAACTCTACGATTTGTCCCTCTAGTAACAACCTTTATCATCATCTTCATTTCTACTGCCATTACTCATTGTCACGCGGCTAGTATTACTCCTAGGAAGGTAAGGTTAAGTAAAGTTCCAGCAATTAGATGGAATCTTGTTTTTTTATTTCCCCCATTTGTTGATAATCATATCTATTGACTTATTAGTTTGGCTTTTGCTTTCAAATGTGTAAATTGTTTGATGTTGGTGAAATTGTATCATACCAGCGGTCCGATTGAAATTATATTTTATTAGAGGTTAAATTGATAGGAGATTTTTATTAATATGAAATGATTGAATCACGGTTAAACAAAAATTGAAAACATAAAATTATTTTATCATCAAATTTTCCTGTAAGTTACAATCCATAAAATTCTTAACTCCTCTGTTTTGTAGGTTTACTTGGTGTTTCTGGATTCACAGATTATACCTAGTACGAAACCTGCACATCTAGATCTTCTCAAGACTGTGCTTAAAGACATGTATGCTTCAACAATATAAAATATTACTGCAGTAACAATTTTTATTCCTCCATGAATCATCTTGCTAGCTAGGTTAATTTCTAACACCGTTACACCCTTCTTTTTTTCTTGACTGCCTATGTCTTTGATATAGCAAACCAGAGGAATCTCTTGTCTATGACTATCGCTATATAAGTGGGTTTGCAGCAAAACTCAGTGAAACTGAAGCAAAGCATTTAGCAAGTTGTTATGTTTTATTTAATTAATTTTGGATAGTATTTAATAGGCAATATTCATCTGTGTAGCCAAAACTTTGACGTTTGTGACAATAATAGCCATTTTTGGGGAAATACCAATAATAGCCATAATTTTGAAAGTTTGATGACAATAATAGCCATTTCCGTCCAAAACTTTAACGGTGTTACAAAATTCCGTCTGTCAGGTTAACGGTACGCTGACGAGGATGCCATATCATTGCCACATCAGCAACAACCCAGCCTTAATTGCCACGTAGATGCCATGTCACAATCTACTTCAAAATTTATTTTTATTTATTTTTCAATGATAAAAAATAATTATTTTATTTTATATTTATCTATCTCTTTCCTCCCTGCCTTCTTCATCTGTTGCCTTCTCCCTCTTAACAAACCGACCATCTTCGATCTTCTTCATCAAACTTCTTCCCCGATTCTCCCGCAGGCCCGCCCCACGGCCCCACCCATCCGATTGTCGCTCCAGCCCATCTCTTCAATCGCTTCAGTTGACTGGTCGGGCATATCTGAGAGTCTCGATTTCGCCTCAACCCTAGAACTTGGGGAAAGAGGGTCATTGACGAATTCGATAGCGGCAATTAGGCAAACGACGAGACTCATGACGATTGGGGGCAGGGTCGTAGAGGACGGGAGTAATGGCGGCGACTTCTTCCAATACGACGGCGGCGGGATCTAGAGATGAAGGGAGGTGGTGGCGGCTGAATCCTTCTTTCCTATTTCACTCAACCAAGAAAGATTGGGGGCAAGGTTGTAGCGGACGAGAGCTACGATGCGACACAATCCAAGCAGCAGCCGAAAGGATGTGGGAGTTTCAAAAAAGCCCCTTCCCCCTGCCTGGTTCGTCTAAAAATCTCACGCCTTCTTCGTCTCTCTCTCTCAGAACACTCTTTCACTTCTGTCGATCCGAATCTCGATTGCAGATTCACTCGGCCTTTGCCATCGCTCGCTTGCCGGGAAACCCTCGTTCACTTTGCTTCAATGGCTTCCGCACCTGTTGTGAATCCGAATTAACCCGACGCCGACGGAGTAGGTGGCAGAGGATTAGGTATTGGGGGAAGGAGGAGGCAGTGAAGGAGCGGAATTGGAAGATACGGCGGCATCTCTAGTGGTGTTTAAGTTGTCGATCAGAGAAGGAAGTTGTTTTATTTATTTGTTTGTTTTTATTTTTCATAAATCCAATGACCCAGCCATTCGAAAAATTCTAAATTTTCATTATTGTTATTTTATTTTTTAATTAAAGCCACGTGGGAATGCGCACGGGACGAAAATTGCCAGATCGGACAAGCCGTTAGTCCAGTCAGCACGTGGCTATTTTCGGTATTTCGTCAAATGTGGCTATATTTGGCCAAACCGTCAAAGTTTTGGCTATACAAGTGTATTTGGCCTATTTAATATTTAGAGTTTGAGATATATAATGGTATATCCTAAATGTATTTGTCACAGGTATCAAGGGTGTGGTATCAGTATTTCTGAATCAAGTTTACCACCTCGATTGTCCTTAATTAAGAGGATCGTGTGGACTCAAGTTTCGGGTGACAAATAGGCTTGGATTTGGTTAAAGAGGGAAATATATAGTTGGAAACCTTTGAATCTAGGCGATCTATTCACTATTGACATAAATCGAGAAGTTGGTATCGTTCCAATTTTTAGTTCATAATCGAGCTTATCACTAAGGTTAAGTTATTTCTTTCCATAATTAATACCTACTAAGTGGTGGATTGATTTTTTACTTTCAATAAAGTTATCTTAGGTCCATGTAAGCTTCAAAATGATATCCTCACAACTTTCTCCTTGCACTCTCGTGGTCATTCAACTTTTAGATGTGTGTAAGATACTCAATTATCAGCTATTTGATTTCGACCGAAACCTAAAAACTCATTGACACATGTCCAAAGTACTGTTAGTATCCCTACAGAGTTTCAAGTATCTTTAAGTTTGTCGTTGCAAAATAAAGAAGCTTTATGACGATTCTAGGAAGTTCGGACGCCTTGACACATAAATCCCAAATAGAAGCCCCAAAACTTAAAACAAGCTCGAATTAATGTTGATACTTTTAAATCTATCCTTAGAAAATACATCCAGACTCCAAATTGCATGCATGCTTTGGACATGTCGAGTTCATCGTTATTTCCTATCCCAATATATATATATATATATATGAGTTAAACCAACATCTATTTAGTATAAAAAAAGGCAAAATACACTTGTATAGCCATAATTTTGACGTTTTTGACAAATATAGCCACTTTTTGAAAAATACACAAATATAGCCACATTTTGAAAACTAGTTTGACAAATTTAGCAATTTCCGTTAAAAACTTTAACACCGTCAGTTACTCCGTCCATAACGTGAATGTTATGCTGAGGTGGATGCCACCTTAACTCACCCGTCAGCTCCATAAGACACACCCACATCATATGGACGCCACGTCAGATTTTAATTAAAAATTCATTATTTTATTTTAATAAAAAATTCATTAATTAAATTTTAATAAGAAAATCATAAATAACTTACCCCTACCAGGCTACCACCGCCTGCAGCAAGAAAATCCCCCTTTCCTGAAGAAACCCTAATTTCCCATACAGCCCTTTCCCCCAATTCGTGATTCTCTTGCTCCCAACTAATACCGGGACCGAGAGTCCGGGACAACTAATCTTTCCTCCTGTAACTTGTTCATGCATATCAATATCAAGCAAACCCATTTCCTTTATTTATCATCCTAATACAAAAGAAGTCATTGGAGAAAGCAAAACAGAGTTCCTCGCTCTAATTCATCGCTATGAGCTCCGTAAGAAGGTCTGGGTTTTGGCAACCTAGGTTCAGAAGAAAAAAAATAGAGTTCCTCGGCGATGGATTCCTTTGTCGATTGAACTTGGTTTTGAGCTTTGCCGCCATTGACTCAGGGCAGCTTCCTTTGCGACGAACGGAACGTCCACCTCTTCACATTCGATTCTCGGTTGTAACCAGATCTGAAGAACTCGTACAAATCTCAGACTCCCAATTAGATTCCTCAGGGGATTTAGTACTCCTCTAGAAGAATCGAGCGCCAAAGGGAGTGGTGTTGGGATATCGTACCTTCAATTGGGGGTGGCTTTGTCTATGTAGTTCGGCCGGTAAAGAATTCCTTTTTGATGGAAGAAGATGATGACCGGGCAAGGAAAAGAGTACCGAGAGCAAGCCGCCAGTCCTCCCGGCCTCATCCTTCAAGGAATTCCTGGAGAGAAGAAGCCGGAGTATTTGCGGTGGAGAAGATGAAACGGGAATGAAACTACAGGGGAATGAGAGGGTTTCAGTTTCACCAGCTACTGAGGAAGGCACATATTTAATATTTTGTTTTATTTATTTATTTATTTATTTATTTTTCCATTTAATTATAATAAGAAAATAACCATTTTCACCTCAAATTGTTTTGGACCAAAAAAATGCCACGTCATCAGAGATCGTTAGTCCAGTCAGCATCTTTGAAATTTCTGTTAAAGTTATGGACGGAAAGGCTATTTTAGTGTATTTTTAAAAAGTTTACTATTATTGTTACAAAGTGCAAAGTTATGGTTATGCAAATATATTTAGCAACAAAAAAAAAACCCAGAAAATGAAGGTTATTGTAGTGTATGAGCAACAACTGGACTCCTGACTTTATGAGATCCATTAGACCAAACCAGAACACCAGAGACGATCCCACTCTTCTTCAGCTTTGCCTTCACCGTGACACGAAACGATATCGTTTCACCCACATCCTTAAACCTAAGCACTTTTGGGTTCACCTTGATCTTAAGCTCTTTAGAGGACATCACTTTTGCCTTGTACTTGGAATGCCCTTTCCCAACATTAGTCACAGTTCTCCGGAACACCCTTTTCACAGTTCCCCCAGGTTTTCCTGACAGGGTGAAAGAAGGGTAGTTCAGGTTCCAAGCATGTATCTTTTTGCCCACATCAGAACAATCCACAGCTTTGCTAGTTACCAGCTTGATTTCCGTCGCATTATATCCTTGCCCGCACAAGAACTCGACGTAATCGTGTTCTCTAGCATCGTATATCAGTCCAGGATTCGCGGCCTTCTTCAGGTTTATGAGCCCTGACCCGTATGCAAATTCCGCGTCAGGATTTTGGTCCCGACTGACAGGAGAGGCTGCAACAGCAGAAATGGGTTATCAGGAAACTAAAGATTGAAATGGAACTAATGAAGAAGTGGAGTGATTGATTAGTTGATTCTCATATCAACAATACCTGTGGTCATTAAAGCCGACTTGAGAGCAGCAGGGGACCAATTGGGATGGAAGGATTTGACCAAAGCAGCAGCTCCAGTTGCATGTGGACAAGCCATGGAAGTTCCGGACAGGATGTTGTAAGAAACTACTCGTTTGTCGCCTTCGATGCCTGTTGCTGTTTTCCCCCTGGAATATGCTGCCAGGATGTCCACTCCTGGTGCTGCAATGTCAGGCTGCACCAATCATGTAAATATTCAGTCTTTGACACTCAAAATCAATCATTATAAGTGGGGAAAAGTACTAATCCATGGATATATTATACCTTTAGAATGTTAGGTGTTATAGCATTTGGCCCTCGAGATGAAAACCCCGGTACAATTCGCGAAGCTTCAGACTTCTTCTCAACTGTCCTGAATATGGTTGCTGTTGGGTTCCTGTTAATTTGTCAGCAGAAACTTAGTCAGGCCGCAATTAATAAAGATGTTTATACACGACGAGCTTCGTCTCTAGGAAATCAAATATCTGTTCCACACCTTTTTTCCATAACATATCTCGATATCTCATCGGAACCAGAAACAGTAGAAGCTGGCAGAGGGAAGTTGCTAGCCACTAGTTGCTGTTCTTGTGCTAACATTATGGAACCTGCTGCTCCAGCGGCCGCTGGACCTTCCCCTGAATTTACACTATCACAAAGCACAATCCGCCCTTTGACTCGTTTCTTGCTCAACGTGTTACTGCTACAATCCCTGCATTTGAGACCATAAAACAGTAAGCAATTATCATTCATCAATCATGGCAAATCCAGCAACTACCGCAACATATATATATAAACTTCTTCCTTTACTTGGACATGGATGCATTGAATCCTCCGGTGGAATTTGGAGCATTCCCACCATAAACAACAGGATACATCTTTCCTCCATGATCAAACGTGTTAATCGAAGTACCCTGTCGCGCATTCAGAACCCAGTTATTAGTTTGATCAAACATTGTTTAAGGTAGCAAACATTGATTCTAAATCACTAATTGCTTGCTCACCTTAAAGACTCGTCCATTTCCCAACTTAACCTTGGTCACAAACTTCCTGTCGACAGTGATAGCAGCCACGGAGAGAAGCCAAGGTGCGACATTTGTCACGGTTCCAAGTTCAGGACCTTCGTTGCCAGCAGAAACTGATGTCAGGATGCCATGCTTCATAGCATGGTAGGATCCGATTGCTGTGGCATCGGTGAAGTAATCGTAGGCTTTCGTCCCACCGATGGAGATTGAGATGATGTCGACTCCATCAGAGATAGCATCGTCGAATGCTGCTAGAACGTCTGCGTCATAACAACCTTCAGACCAACAGATTTTGTAGACTGCAATCCTGGCTGAAGGAACTCCTCCTCTTGCTGTTCCTTTGCCTAAGCCTTCCATGCTCGCCTTCGCCACGAAGTTCCCTGCTGCTGTTGAGGCGGTGTGGGATCCGTGGCCTTGTGTATCCCTTGGTGACATCACATCTTTATTGCTCGTCAGCTTTCCTGCGCTTCTGTAGATCCTTGCACCCACTATTTTGCTGTAAGCACACAACCTTTCAGATTAATATCATTTTGTACATATAAATAATCTTACTTTTCATAGCAAATTGTCTGGGTGGTGTAGTTGGTTATCACGTTAGTCTCACACACTAAAGGTCCCCAGTTCGAACCTGGGCTCAGACATTAAATCTTTTTACTCTAAACTTTACTGGTTGCAATGATAATTAACTTTTTTGACTCTAAACCTTACTTGTTGCAATGAAAATTTGACCCTGATGAGCACGATCCTTTCCATTTTTGTGGTGGTGGACCGAATCCTTCGTCACTGAAACTTTCGGATTCCGGCCAGATTCCAGTGTCCAGAACTCCTATGATGATGTCACTTTCAGCACTTCTCTTTACAACCTTCTCAGGCAGTCCAACGTAGGCCCATGATTTTGTAGTGTGGAGTTGCTTCTTCCCATTGGGGAAAATTGAAACCACACCTTCCATTCCTGGGAAATGGAAATGATATAAGGAAAATGCACATGTGCTCTAAGGATAATGGAATATAAGAGAACTTGGAGTCACTGGTTAGTCACCAGCCAGCTTTTTCACTTCCTCAGGTGTCAACATTGCAGCAAACCCATTGAAGCTCTTCCTGTAGCTGTATACAATCGAATCCGATGCATCCCTATTGAAGTTGGAAACCCATTTGGGTAGAAGAAGTTAGTACTTTCAAAAGGTAAGATTTCTGAAGATCCTTTTTTCAGAGGTCAAATTTAATAGGTTTGAGAGTCACATTTACCTGCGAAGAGCTTGTTGCAGCATATTGGTGTGGACTTCTGCTGTCATGGTAGCAGTGCCCTCTGGAAGGTCTCCCATGTAAACTATATGCACCTGTTTTAACCATTAAACTTCAGCTCAAAACCCAGTTCTACATCAAATACTAAAATGACAGTGTTGCAAACAAAAACGATGAACAGGAAGGAGAGAGGGAATTTTGTGTTCTTTTTGCCTGTGCAGTACTGGTATCTGAATCCCCATTGCAGTTGATCACCAAGTGAGATATTATCGCGAGACAGACCGAGAGAAGCAGTGAAAATGGAGAGAGTTGGCTAGCCATTTTGAGGTTTTCGCTAGCTGCTAGCAGCTCTGCTTATTGCCTTAATCAGGAAAGTTAGAGGGGCTGCTGTTGCTGGTCTTTACTATGCAACTGGAGTGGGAGCTTATATAGACGAGCTAGAGCGTATGTAGCCATTGCTAGCTTATTGCAGTCTGGATAGGACCGCCCTTTTCGGTTTAGGTTAATGAAGGGTTACCATACTATGTGGTTTTTGAATTCTTGTTCTATGCAGTGGGAGGGCACCCGGAGTAGATGCTGCAGCTTGCTAGATGAATGGAGGAAAATGACAAGAAGGTGTTAGCTTTGGTAGAAGATCGAAATCGAGGTTAATCCCTCACTAATGTTTAGTATTAATAGTTTATTGAGTGTTAAACAATGCAGGTAGGCAAGCTCTGTGAGTCTTTTGACTGAATTTCTGATTTTCCAATGTCTTTTATAGCGACAGCTTCGTTTGGTTGCTTTGACAAAGTCAATTTCCCCCACAACAGAACTAGTCCTGAAAGTTATCGACAGGGCCTTCTAGTAGTAATGGAGAAACTAAAGCGAAGAGATTGGTGTGGAAGTCTTTCTAGCAATTGGGAGTCCTAGACAAAATCTTATTTTAATGGGAGTTTATTGTACAAATTCAAAATACCTTTTTAGTGCAGTGCTTCTGCTGCTAATGTCGAACCTTTTTTTATTTCATAACCATTAACCAAGCATCTGACTTCCAGCTACTTCAAGCAAAATCAAGCATCGAAATTTTATTAATTCAGAGATGACTAGTAAGCCACGCATTACATTGAAACACATTCCACAAAAATACACTTCCTACTTGATGATTGGTAATGAACTTACACTATTATGCAAATGACAGTCACTTGCAATACTTGCAAAACAACTCATGCTGATACTATTGGAAACTGTGGTAAAGTCTATCATCTAGCAATTCCGAGAATGGACGAACCTGACTTCACAAAACTAAAGAGAGCTGATCAATGACGTTCTTGAGATGGCACAAATGCAACAATAGGATTCCTCACGGAATGAATCCCATCACTCCAAACCAAAGAACCAGACAGCATGGTTCTTCCCAGCAGGGCTGTCACAGTTACAACGAAGGACTGCTTCTCGCCAATGTTCTTGAACTTGAGCACATTTGGTTCAATTCTAATTGTATCAAAGCCTACTGGACCATTCACTAGAGCCGTGTAGGTAGACATCGCAGACCCAACATTCGAGACAGTTCTGTGGAACACCCGAGTAACACTAGCCTTGAGCTTCTCTGATGACAGCGCAAAGGAAGGGTAGTTTAGATCCCACACTGCGGTTCTATTAGTTGCTGCAGAACTACATGAGCTCTGATCTCCAGTAACGAGTCGCAGCTGTGTAATGTTGTATCCTTGGCCACACAACATCTGAACATAGTCAATCTCACCAGCGTCATATACTAGCCCAGGATCCACGGCCCTCGAAGGATGAATTTGGCCTGATCCGTATCCAAACTCAGCATCAGGTAAGTCCGGAACACTTAAGGGATGAGCTGTCGTCATTAGAGCAGACTTAATGGCTGCTGGGTACCACGTAGGGTGGAATGACTTAACGTAAGCTGCTGCGGCAGAGGCATGGGGGCAAGACATGGAAGTACAGAGATTATGTTGTACGGGACAACCCTATTATCTCCAGGAAGACCTGTCACGGTTGTAGCTTGCGACCATGCTGCCAGGATATCAACTCCAGGTGCTGTAAGGTCCGGCTGCATAACATAATCCATGTCACATCAAGATAAGCTGTAAAGAGTGGCATCAACTGGAAATTTCTATTTCATGTTACCTTGAGGATGTCTCTTGTTATTGGGTTTGGCCCTCTTGAAGAAAAGTAGATCACATATGCTGATGAATTATCCACAAAGTCACGTGTGGTGAATATTTCAGCAGTTGGATCACTAGCAAAGACATCAAAAGAATGTAATTAACAAGATGTAGTGTCGATTTCCTGATAGTAACGTTATCTGCATTTTCAGCAAAATGCAAGTTGTTTATTTTCATTCTCAATCTACCTAGTTGAGTTTATATACTCCACAATGGTAGCTCCTTCAGCATCAGTCAAGATGGAAACAGGTAAAAGTAAGGGATATGCATCATCTTCGGTATACGAAGTAGTCATTATGGCCCCAGTCGCACCCGCTTCAAGTGGTTCCTGCCCTCCACTAACATCATCGCAATGCACAATTTTCCCTTGCACCAAATTCCTATCCAAACTATTTGGAATGCAGTACCTGGAGTTTTTTTTTTTTTATCAGGACAAGAAAATCTATCAGTTGTTCCTGAATCCACATTTCCATTTTCAAAAAACATGAAATGAAATTGTACTCTTGATTTGACTCTCAAACAATTTTCACCTTGATCCAAATGCATTGTGTCCTGAAGTTTTATTCGTTGCATCTCCAGCATAGACAAGAGGGTATGACTTACTGGCCGCGTATGTGTTTAAAGAGATCCCCTAAATTGGAAGAAAGCAGCATGTTATGTTCCACACACACATGGAGAAGAAGTCAAGGCCAAAGAAAATTTCAGAAACCTCACCTGATAAGTTTTTCCATTACCCAACCTGACCCCGGTTGTGAACTTTCTGTCAATGGTGCTAGCAGCCACAGAGAGCGACCAAGGAGAGCAATTCGAGACCGATCCAGGAGCAGGGCCTTCATTACCAGCTAAATTGGTCCAATTGGACGTGAGAATTCCATTCTTCATGGAATGGAAAGCCCCAATAGCTATAGGGTCTTCAAAATAATCTCGTGGTGAACTTTCACCAACCGAGAGGGAGATTATGTCGACTCCATCAGCAATGGCATCATCGAATGCTGCTAAAATGTCTGCATCCCAACAGCCATCTCCCCAGCAAATCTTGTACACAGCAATTCGGGCGGAGGGAACCCCACCCCGGGCAGTCCCGGAAGCAAGGCCAAGGAGACTAGCTGGAGTTACTATATTCCCTGCTGCTGTGGACGCAGTGTGACTTCCATGACCCTGAGAATCCCTTGGAGAGGGAACTTCACCTTCACTGAAATTGCGTCCACCATGGTAGAATTTGGCTCCAATGATCTTGCTGCAAAGCGGTACCAACGCATTCGAATTCTCACCATTCCAGATTTGGGTAAACAGAAAGAACAGTTCTTTAGAGGCTTGGGCTTACTTGTTGCAGGTGAAATTGGAAAGGCTTTGGCAGACACCTTTCCATTTCTGTGGAGGTGGGCCATAGCCAGAATCGTCGAAGCTCTGCGACTCGGGCCAAACTCCGGTGTTGAGCATCCCGATGATGATGTCGCTCTCCACAGTTGCTCTTTCGACATTCTGGGGGAAACCCAGGAAGTCCCATGATCTGGTCGTGTGGAGATTTCTAATCCGATTACGGAAAACTGACACTATCCCTTCATATCCTGAAATAATTAAAGACAGGCATTCGAATCGAACGAGAATTCTTGCCATGCGAAAGAAAATTGAAAGAATCACAGGAGTTGGCTATTTACCGGAGAGTTTATCTTTCTCGGCATCAGTCAACCTGGCAGCAAAGCCATTGAAGCTCCTTTTGTAGCTATATACCAAAGAATCGGAAGAAATGCTTGCGCTGGGGGAAGGCAAATCATTTTGCAGCCGTTAAAAGTCAGTGCAAACTGCAAAGGTTGTCGTCGAAGTTGGAATAGAAGAATTGACTACCGCCGGGAAATGCTGGGACTGGGAGACTCACCTGCCGGTGATTTGTTGAAGCCTTGAAGGAGACTCAGGTGAAGAGCAGAAGCCGGAGTTTCAGTGTTGGGCTTATGGCCCATGTACACTATGTATAGCTGCAAAACAGTAGAGACAGCCCATGTTATTTGGAACACCATTTGGTGGCCCAATCTGTAATAGGGCACAGAAGCCATGAGCTTCTTTGTCAATTTCGCTTCATTGGGCCATTAAGCCTTACAAGTTACAAGTTACAATAGGTTAGCCTAGTTGGTTAGCAATTTTTACTATAATTTAGGCTGGAAATATAAATTGGGAAAATGTACTCATAAAAAAAATATTTTTTAAATTATTGATAATAAACCTCTGATATTTTTTTTGATGGTTAACCTCCGATACTTAATCCGTCACGGTAACAATTACTGTTTTATTTTGAACTTTACACAAAGAATTACTCTCAAAATTATATTTTTTTTTTTCTATAAGTGAGTATTGCTTTTATAAAAAAATATCCCAATTGAGCTAAAAAGAATCAAGTACTACAAATCCCCATAGAAGCTATGAGGACTATATTTTTCTTTCTTACTAAATTACAGGCTTTGGTGAATAAGGGTCGTTTGGAAGTTGCGATAGTTTTGTTGAGATTGTCATTATGCATATATTGTTTACAATGCATCGTTTTTTTTTATTTAGCAGAAACAATACATGGATTGTTTCTGTGATGTGACAGAAACTATCACTCATTTTGATTGATTGTTATATCTCAACTTTTAGTTGTGATTGTTGAGATAGTTGAGTTGAGATTGTTTTGTCTCAGCTTTTAGCTGATGCGACATACACAATCACACATACCAAACGTTGTATTCTAAAATGCATCAAATTCGACAATACATGTATATTTATACATTTATTCTCAACAATACATCTATTTAACAACCGCAACTTCCAAACGACCCCTAAATAACTCATGTTATTTGGACAAGTTGATTTATAACTTGATATTGGAACTAGTTTAATCGTGAGTTTATTTGTTCAAGTCTGCAAAATTTCCAACACTATCATTGTCTTAAAAACACATGGTATGACAACCCCATGCAAAATTTAAACTCATGAGTTCGCTTTCGTTTGAGGCAACGTATAAGAAAGTGATGAAAATACATACATGAACCCCAGTTGGTTTATGACTTGGCACCGAAACTGGTTTGTCTGTGAGTTCATGTGTTCTCCTCACGACACCTAATACTAACAGTTGTCTTAAAAGCTCATGAGTTAGCTTTCGTTTGATGGGACGTGTTGGAAATGTATATATGAATAGCTTTGAAAGCTATAGAGTCTCAAGTGAAAAAACTACCACATTGGTAGTTTTACTTGGTGAAATGTGTATAAAGATAGGAGCCTCTCTCCTAAGGGCATGCACCTTGGGATGACCCACTTTTGTGGGGGAGGGAGGACCTAACGGACCACCACACACACGCGCGCACCGTCCGTCCGGCCAGTTGGTTGGTTCACTTGAGACTATAGATATTTTTTTGGAGAAATTCCGAACGAAATTAATAATCTGTTATTCTCAGGAATATTCGAAGGATAATCCCGTAGGATTTACCTTAACCGACGATTTTAATTAAGGAAGTAATTATCTTCCTTAATTAATCCGACTTATTCCCCAAGCAAGAGGGTATATTCCTAGGGGTTCGGCTCTTATAAATAGCCGCCTCCCCAGCCCCTCTAAACACATTATAATGAGCATAAAAACAATATAGAGAGAGTGTTCAGAGAGCTCCGGTTTTCGCACAAAACCGCGAGTATTGAGAGGAGCTGTTTTATCCTGGAGACGACCGGTTGATAGTCTGCCTTGCGCATCGAAGGCAGTGTCGCGAACGTCTTAAAGAGAGCGACCTAGTCCGCGACTCAGCTCCAGATCGGTAACCCTTTTTTTTTTTTTTGGTTTCTAACAAGACGTGTAAGAAGTGATTAAATTTCATACATGAACCACTTCCAACAACTCGAGTTATTAAACAAATCCTAAATATAAGCTCCGTACATACCTTTTTGTCATAGATGGAGGTCCCATTGACAGTGTAACTCTGCATCATCAGGCAACAAGCGATGATAGCCGTCAGAACGAGAATCCGTTTCATTCCCGCCATTGAAGATCCTATCTTCAACTTCGTTTGGCTATTGTTGTACTCCTTTCCCTGTGCAAAACCATATGTGTATATATATAATTAAGGTCTTTCGTTTTCGTATCTTATCACTTGTGATGAGCCATTGGGAAAATCCAAACAACAAAATTGCAGGTTCGGAGCTGGAGAAACCATTGTTGTTGAGTACTTCGCCCCAATCAGCATATTTGCATCGTCCTTAGTTGTTTACGGAAGTACATTGTGCTGATGATGATGTTGAGTGGAACGTCAAACTCGCCAGGCGTTGCTTTTCAACTTGTTTTTGTCTTTTCTTTGTTTTCCCGATAAATAGTATATCTCAGGAGAGACGGTTTGTTCCGAATTACAAGTATAAGAAAGTGGTATATGATTCATAATTAATTTTTTCTTCTTCTAAAAAATTTGAGTTAATTATTAGGATCAACTTGTTCTTGAAATGGTATCAGAGCTAGTTTGACCAACTGGTGGGTATTGTGTTCGAATCTTCACGATCTCCAATATTAACAGTTGATTTAAGCATAATGTATGATTGCGCTATGCAAACTTTCAAGCCAGTGAGTACATATATGTTCTGAAACGAGAAACATTCAAGACAAGATACATTAATTTGCACCGAAGTTGTAGTTCTACAGTTGCAAAAGATAACGACTACAACTTTAAAAAACAATAACTGCAACTATAATGACGTCGGTGTTTCCTACAACTACAAAAGTTTACTTCTCAAACTGGAAAAACCATGACTACCACTATAATTATACTACTGCAACTCCTTATTAATATGGTGCTAAACCCTAATTACGAAGGAAGCTAAACCCTAATTCCGATAATTGTACTACTGCAACAACAAAAGTTCTGCATATGTGTATAATTAAATTTGAATCTTGATTTTGAGTTGTACCCGTACGAATAGGGGTGGTAATCGGTCGGTATCCGGTATACCGGATACCGAGTAGCTGGTATTCGATATACCGGCAATTGAAATTATGCCACCGAATACCGATATCGAAAATTATCCGGTATATCGAATACCGGAAAATCGATTACCGATATTTTAACCGGTATACCGGATACCGAAAGTTGATCCATAACTTGGGAAAAGTGGTTGATCTGAAAGTTAAAACCTTTAGCAATCTATGCTAAATAATATTAGAACATATACATACATCATAGATAAAATTGCAGTCAGAGAAAGTGGTCCAATAATCCTTCTGCCAGGGAGGAAAAGTAACTTTAAAGGAAATCGAAGAACAATATCCAAACATCTTCCCATAGCTAGCAGCACCCAATCACCATCTTCGATTACATTTGAGCAAAAAAAAAAAAAAAAAAAACCCAGGTAGAAAATTGATAAAGGACTGGAAAAAAATTAGAGAAATGGAAGACAAGCTGTGACCTCCCAGAAAATCATGGAATCCTAATTGACCCCTAATTTGGATCGTCACTCATATTATACTTTTGTGACTATATGCTTGTCACAACAGAATTATTTTCTGACGATATTTTTATCACATAAAGAAATCGACAAAATGATATATCACAGATTGCAATCATAGGTGATTAGCATTTCATCACGAAAGCTTATAAATGGTGACGACTATGATCGTCATTGAAATGGTTTTCCGTGATAATGAAACTTTTGCATTTGTCTCTTTTGGATGCAAATCACAACAAAATTTTTTGTCACAAAAAGTTCTTTTGATATGATGTTTTGAATCAGTAGTGAAGACATAACACGTTTGCTGAAGAACTCTAAATTAAGATGCCCACAATTACACTTATACAACGAATTGAATTTTTATGTAAGAATATTCCTTAAAGTGAATACATGTACAACAAAGCTAAGAACAAGTACATTAATTTTAATGTAATTATCCGGACTGAAAAACTTCATGCTTCGATCCTCTCTTTGCTTTCTTGAGAAACATGTTTTAATCATTCATGGGATTGCTTGAGCTACAACTCGGCAGCGGCTGAAATCAACAAAACACATAAAAAGGTTTAGTGGAATTGATGAACATGAGGCGTTAAGGCCACGAATGGAGGAATAAACACCGTATGTAGCATCGCTGGAAAATAACAAACTAAATACTACGTGCCTTTTGGAGGCTCCGATTCAATTTCATCTCTTCTGTATCATAGTCGGACTCTAGTTGTCTCACCGTTCCTCTTCTTATATCAGCGACACAGCCGATCCTCATTGCTGTCAAAACAGAAAACAAAGGGAATATATCGAATCAGACATGAAGAAAGGCGCACGTTGTTTTCTTTTTAATTGATGTAAAGGAAATAAATAGAACCAGTTGACGGCGACGTGAAGTTCCACGAGCGGCTGAAAAAGAGACGAGAAGGGTAGGCTGATCGGAGTTCTGGATAGTGGAGAAGGGTTTGTTTATAATTATGAGTGGAAAACCTAAGAATTATGAATAGAATTAATAGGAAGAACATAGAACTTTCCTTTCTGATATTACGAAAGATCTTTTCCAAGAAATAATTAAGGCTTAACTATGTAATTAAAGTAATGGAAAGTAGATGAGATCAAATCTTTTATAGTTGCATGATTATCTTTTATGATCGTGTAGTGTATACTACGGCCGATTCTTTATAATTAAACCTTTTTCCTTTCCAACATTTGCACTTATCTGGTTTCTAATGCCCTTTAATCTATTTTTGACTGATTATAATAATTTAATTAACAAAATGAACGATTAAAGCATTTTAGAAATCGGAGCGCTAGAGGGCACCCCAAACTCTAATCAATAATCACCAAGCGAGGTGTTTGAACCTCATTCGAATCAAAGTACAACCTATGGTTCAAAATAGTATTAGGAGCAGTAAGAAAATGAACTTCAGTCGGCAGGTTGTAGCCCAACGATGCCACATAGTCTGCCACCACATTTCCTTCCCTGTAGATATGCATAAGCTCCACTTGCTAATCGTACTTGTTATTTATATTACTAGTCAGAAAAGTTTAAATGAACAGAAGATCAATAAATTATTCTTAGTATTGAGCTATTTAGTGATATATAATTCATCCAATACTCTCACGAAAAGTCTCTTGTCCCATAATAGGATATCCACTAGTCACGTATGAAACTATATCTTCATGAAACGTGACTGTTTAAGCCTAGATACTTCACTCCACCAAGCGCGCCTAATCCACTGCACCACAGGCGCCTAGGCCCTGCAAAACTAGCGCCTAGAGGGCTGGTGCCGCCCGTTAGCACTCCAACGATCAAGTCAGTGCTGATCCTAGAGAGATAAGTGAAGAAATAGAACTTAGTGAGAGAAACCGACCTGAGTAAATGCCACCTACCGAGTGCTATTTATACTACTCGAGCTCCTCGGCCATGCTCCGACCAACTCCTGCCACCAAGCCTTACGTCAGCCAAGCATTAAATGCCTGGTCTGGTCCAACGTCCGAGCGCCTACACGTGGCGCGTCGTCCGACTCTGGCGTCAGGGCGCATGGGGGGACCATTCGCCTACGTGGTGCTTTTCCGACCATCCTCAGCCGTACTTCTTTGTCCACGAGTCTATTTTGTCGCCATGCGCCCCTTTACCGTTGGTGCCTCCCAAGTCATGTCTCAATGGGCCACTAATGGGCTCCAAGCCCATCAGGCTTTGGGCTTAGATGGGCTTATCTATGTTTCCCCAACAATTGCCCCCCAGTTAGGTACTCACATGTGAGTGCCTAATTATGAAAGAACTGATTTAGCGCGAGGGGCTCTGTTAAGGTACCCGTTCACCGTTCATCCTTACAAGGGATTTTAGCAAGTGCCTGGCACCACCTTGCCCCCCACACCATGTGTCTGTTGGCCTCTACCGACGCTTGTGAACTTTCACCCGCTTTTATGAAAACAAGGTGAAACAGGTGCCTGTTCGTGACCCCTCCCCTGCCTTTATTCAACCGGGCGCCTGTTTGTGGCTCTTTGCCTGCTTGCATAAAGATAGGCGCATAATCGCCTGTTTGTGACCCTTCACCTGCTTGAATTCAATCAGGCGCATAACCGCTTGTTTGTGCCTGTTTGTGACTCCTCACCTGTCTTTATTTAACCGGGCGCATGTTTGTGGCTCTTTGCCTGCTTGCATAAAAATAGGTGCATAACCGCCTGTGTATGACTTTTTGCCCGTTTGCATAAAGAGAGGCGCATAACTACCTATTCGTGACTCTTCACCTGCTTGAATTTAACGAGGTGCATGACCGTACGTCTCGCCCCCCACTCGGCGTGCATTTAAATTTCAAATTTCAAATTTTCAAAATTCGAATTTTGAACGGAGGGCGAGGATCTGCCCGTTTGGCGCGTGCACATCTCGAGGTGGACTTTCCCTCTCCCTTCTCTACTATAAATACAAACCTTTCTCCTCTCCCTGCCTCATTCGCACCAAACTCCCTTCTCTCTCCAGCTTCTCTCTCTAACCGTTCTCCCTCTCTCTCGCCCGCGCGCCCTACTTCTCTCTTGTTCGTGCGCCCACTCCAACCTTATCAACCATGTCGCAAATGGATCTCAGCGCGGCCGACACCACCAGCGAAAAAGTCGGGAGCGCGGCGCCCAACGTGCTTGATGTGCTTGAGAAGCATCTGTCTCCAGACCCGCTTCGCAACCAAGACCAATGGGCGTCTCGATCTCAGAAGGAGGCGCCTAAAAACACCAAATCCACCCCCTCCTCTTCTGCGCCTGTCGAGTCCGAGGCGCCAAAGAACACCAAATCTGCGCATGTCTCCTCCGCGCCTGCCGATTCCGAGGCGCCTAAAGAGACAGCGGCCTCGACTGCGCCCGCAACCACTGTACCAGCGCCCACCACCACCAATCCAGGTAATGCACTTTTTCTCTCTCTGTTTGAATTTTCCCAAATTCACTTTGACCCTTTGCTAGGCGCCCACCAGAGGTCTTAGGTCCGTAGTATTGATTAAGGACGCTTGGATCACTTTTAGGCTTCGCGCCTACCTCATCAGTGTCGAGCGACTTGGCGATTTCTCCATCATCCATTGATTTGGGCGCCCCCGAAGACGGGTCGTTCATGATAGTGGATTGGGAAGATACATGGCCACAAGGGGAGGCGCCCGATAGCACCAGCAAACTGTGTGTTCGGCGAGCCGGGCCAAAACACTCGTCCACCATCAAGATAGCAGAGATGCATCGGCTGATTACCTCGTGCAACCTGCCTCGCACTTGGTCTTATGCACTTGCGTCCTCAATTTCCAGGATATGAGCAATTGGCCCACGGTGGCTCGGTATATATAGGGAGTATTATAAATTTGGGCTACGCTTCCCCTTGGATTCGATTTTAGAAGGGGTCCTCACTACATGCGCCTGTTCCCTGGGGCGCCTATCGCCCTCTGTCTTTTTGCTTCGCGTCCTTTTCAAACTGAAGTGCCAGCAGAATAACATTGCGCCGATGTTCAAGTTGTTTCGGTACTTCTTCACCATGACAAGCAGTGACAACTGTTTGTCCCTACAGAGGCGCCTAGACATCCCGGGACACTTTGTAGAAGATTGCCCAAAGTTGGGGGGCAAGTGGTATAGGGGCTACTTTTTTATTAAGGCGCGAGTAGAATCGTTTTACGAGAGTGGCGCATGCTTCACCTGGGATTGGAAGCTTGGTACTACCACGCATTTCAATGTTGACGTGGAATTATCCCCCGATGAGAAAGAGCACGCGCGCCTACTATCTCTTCACCCAGTGAACTTAAGTTCCACAATCGCTAGGACCCCAGTATTACATGAGTACTACGCCGACGGTAGGTAGGCGCTTAGTAGCGCCAATGTGTTGATAAAGTGTTGCATGCGCCCATTTTCCTTTGTACTTGATGAATGATTAGCGTGCCTTTCTTTAACTGTGTATATTATTATGCAGGTGTGGACTTCACCACCATTGCCTCACTGATGAAGACCCAACTTGAGGGCATGGGTCTGGACTACAAAGCGCCTGACCTCGGTGGCAGGGCGCCCTCACGCTCGAAAAAAGGCACGTCGAAGAGAGGGAAGAACAAGTCTTCCTCCTCCGGGGTTAAGGCCGATGCGCCTGCTTCCGCGCAGAAATCAAAGGGGCGTTCAAGTCCTCGGCGTACCAAATCACAGAAGGCGCCTACCGTCTCTCTTGTGGAGGAGGAGGTTGCGCCTACCGTCGTGCAACTCGAAGATGGAGCGCCTAACGTTGACATTCTCTCCGACGCGGAGTTGGATATCGACGATGTCCCTCTTGTGCAAAAATTGAAGAGGAAGAATGCTGAGGAGGATACACAGGCGCAGAGTAAGAAGCAGCGCACAAGCGCGGAGGAGCGAGTCCCCGAGTTTGTTGAGAAATGGCTGCAACCACCAAGGCACAGGGTCAACATTGCTTGCTCGGATAGATCGGCTTTGGAGAGGGCTTCACGTGGCCGAGGTACTGAGGGCGCCTAGTGAGGTTCAAGGCGCAAACTTGTGGGGAGAAGTAGCACGCATGGCTACCCAGGTATGCGCCCACCTTGCCTCCTTTCCTATCACTTTGCATACGCGTAACTAACATTGACTTGCAACAACCTTTTTTTTTTTTTTAAGATGCTCCCACTCGCCAAGAATGGCGCATTGGCAAGCGAGGCGCTGCGCGTTGGAGAGAATGAGGCCTCCAATGCCCTTAGTGTGATGAGGGATGACTTGGCGACCGCGCAGAGGCGCCAAGCGGAGCTGGTGCAAGCGTGGGAGGATTCCAATCTCGAGGCTGCAAATGCTATCTCTCTCGTCCAAAAGTCCATCGATGAGGAAAAGCAGAGACTGAAATTGGAGCATGAGGCCCAGCTCGAGATTGTCAGAAGGGCGCATCATGAGGAGATGGCCAAGCTTGTGAAGGAAAAGGATGATCTGGACAAGGAAGCGGGCGCCCAAAGGAGCGAAATCGACCTCCTTACTGAAGAGAAGAAGGCGCTGCAGAAGGAGAAGAAGATTTTGAACAGAGAGAACAAGAGGCGGCAGGGAAGAACTGGAGGCGCTTAAGCAAGAGAAAAAGATAGCGGCGGCGCCTGTCTCAGACATGGCGCTTAAGGCCCAGGCCTCCCTCAACAGCATCCTCATTTTGAAGAGGAAGTTGGAGGCTGACCATCCCACTATCAACTGGGATGTCAAGGAGATGGCCAATTTCGTCATCGACTTCATGGCCAGTGGGCGCCCTGTCGTGGATCCTGCTCCTGCGCCTCCTCAGGACCCGGTGGATGAAGGAGAAGACTCGGGATCAAGCTCGGAGTCTGGCGATGAGTCATCGGGCGAAGAGTAGGATTATTTTATGGCATGGTTATAGGCGCCCATATGTACATGTGCTGCCAGACTTATCTTTTTCATGTTTTTGTGACTATCTTTCTATGTGTTGAACTTTTGCTTTTTGTGACTTTCTGTTGACGTTGTTTCCCGGGTGAAAAGACAGGCTCCTACGACCTTCTCATAACCTCCGCGCCTTGATTTTATTGATGCCTTACTTGCATATTTTACTTCATTTTTGCGAAGTGGTGATTGATGCGATAACCAGGGCGCTTACTTACATTCCCCACTAAGGATCCAATTATTTGGTGTGAGGGCGCATTATGTATACCGGGCGCGTTGAGGGCACAATGAATTGATAATCAGGGTGCTTACATGGGGCGCATTACTTATCATTCCCTAGTAAGGGTCCAAGTATTTGGTGTGAGGGCGCATTATGTATACCGGGCGCATTAAGGGCACAAGGAATTGGTGCTATAGGCGAGATAACCAAGTACCTAGGTATGTATATATATTCCGATTTCAAAAAATAACCTTGGGGCGCTATTACCGGGCGCTTTAAGTATCCCGGGCGCTGAAGGGCGCTTTACATAAATGTTACGGGCGCATAAGGGCGCTTTAAAATACTACTGGCGCATATCGGCGCTTCTCTCTACTCCTACCAAAAAACGCCCCAAGGCTTAAGGCTTTCCCTTGCAATTACCAACTGCTAGGCGCCTCTTCTGGCACCCTGCCATCTTCTCCTGTCACATTGGCCTCCACAAATCTATACCTTTGTAAGTTTTGGGCATTCCAAGTCCTTTTTACCTTTTTTCCCGATAGATGCTCCAGCTTAAACGTGCCCGGCCCAACTACCTCTTGCACACGATATGGCCCCTTCCACTTTGGTGCCAACTTTCCATCAGTGGCTTTTGGGCGAAAGTCGCGCTTCAGCACCAAGCTCCCAGCCACAATGTCATGCGGGCACATCTTCTTGTTATAATATCGGGCCACTTGCGACTTCATTGCTTCCAGGCGCAGAGCCGCCCTTTCACGACACTCATCGAGGAGATCCAACTCATTGATCCGCACCTGTTCCTCCATTGCCTCACCCTTATGCGCCATTCGAAAGGTCAGAATGCGAACCTCCACCGGTAACACTGCTTCACTGCCATATGTCAGTGCGAAGGGCGTTTCCCCTGTTGCAACTTTGAAGGTGGTCCTGTGCGCCCACAAGACGCTTGGAAGCTCCTCCACCCAGTTCCCCTTAGCTTCTTCGAGCCTGGTATGCAGCCCATGCAATATACTCTTGTTGGCCGCTTCAGCTTGCCCGTTTGCTTGCGGATAAGCTACGGAAGAGAATCTTAGTACCACTCCATTTTCGTCGCAGAAGTCGATAAATTTCTTGCAATCAAACTGCTTGCCATGATCGGTGATGATCGACTCCGGCAGCCCGAACCTTGTGAAGATGTTCTTTCTTGTAAACTTCCGCACTTGCACTTCCGTGATGGATGCCAACGGCTCCGCCTCAATCCACTTGGTAAAATAGTCAATAGCCACAATCAAGTACTTAAATTGTCCGGGCGCCTTGGGGAGGGTCCCAGAAGATCCATCCCCCATTGTGTAAACGGCCAGGCGCCTACGTTTCCCTGCATGGGTGCTGCCGGCACATGTATGTCGTTGGCATGGATTTGACATTGATGGCATTCGGCCACATGCTTTCCAGCGTCAGCCCTCATTGTTGGCCAATAATAACCCTATCTTAGCAGCACTTTCTCTAGGCTCCGGGCGCATGCGTGCATTCCACACGTTCCTTGATGCACTTCCGCGATAGCCTTTTGCCCTTCGGCCTCCGCGAGGCAACGTAGATAGGCGCCCGAGTGGGATCTTTTGTATAGTACTCCCTCCATGAGGACACATCGTGCCGCTTTCCTTCTTAAACGCCAAGCCTCTTTGGGGTCTTCTGGGACCACGCCCTGCGTTAGGAAAAGCATGATAGGCGCCATCCATCCTTCGACGGTTCCCACGAGAATAGACGCCATCACCCCCTCATCACGCGGGGCTTCCTTGGTGACGATCACCTTTCTGTCTTCTCCAAAATCCAACGCTGTGGCCAACTTAGATAGGGTGTCCGCATGGGCATTCTCCTCTCTTGGAACATGTGTGAACGTAGCCTCCCGAAACCACGCACACTTTTCCCTGACTGAGTGAACGTATGCTCCCAACGCCTCCTCTTTTACCTCGTACACATTGTTCAACTGATTGACCACGAGAGCCGAGTCAGTCTGGACATTAACCTTCTGGGCGCCCAACTCCCTTGCCATGTGGAGCCCCGCCAGGACCGCTTCGTATTCCGCCGCATTGTTCGTTTTAAGAGTTGCAAAGCGTAGCGCGACTTCATGCATAGCGCCATGGGGACTAATTAGCACAATACCTGCTCCCGCACCAGCTCGGCTTGCCGCTCCATCCACCTGAACTTGCCAACATTCTTCCGCACCATTCCCCGCGTCAACCACTCTTTCGGCCACAAAATCAGCCAACACTTGCGCCTTGATGGCCGGTCTGGGCGCATAACTCACATCGAACTTGCTCAATTGAACAGCCCATTTAACCAGGCGCCCGGAGACATCCATGGACCCAAGGACCGTTCGGAGAGGCAAGTTCGTGACTACCACAATGCTGTGAGCTTGGAAGTAAGGCCGGAGTTTGTTAGCCGCCATCACTACCGCACATGCCGCTTTCTCAATGGGCGCATACCTCGTCTCATGCACCACCATGGTACGACTCACGTAGTTTACTGGTCTTTCTTCATTCGTTGACGGATCTTTGGACACCAACACCGCACTCACCGCAATCCGGGAGACTGCAATGTACAAGTATATCGTCTCCTTGACCTTATGCGCGGTCATTACAGTGGGCGCGGTCAGCAACTTCTTTAAATCCCCGAATGCCTCATCGCACTCCTCCGTCCACTTAAACTTGCTAGCCTTTTTTAACGTTCTGAAAAAGGGGGCGCCTCTATCTGAGGCTCTTGGAATGAAGCGCCCCAGCGCCACCAATCTTCCCAGTCAACCCTTGCACCTCCTTAGGTGTTCGGGGAGGCGTCAACCTCATGATTGCTTCAACTTGCTTGGGGTTGACCTCAATTCCTCTTTTTGTGATCATGAATCCCAAGAATTTACCAGCCTCTGCTAAGAACACGCACTTCTTCGGGTTAAGTCGCAGCTTATACAACGCATAGTCTCGAATGTCTCCCTCAAATATGAGATGTGGTCTTGGCGCCTCTTGCTTTTCACAATCAAATTGTCGACATATGCCTCGACGTTCCTTCCCAACTGCTCACGAAAGATTTGATTCACCATGCGCTGATATGTGGCGCTTGCATTCTTCAATCCAAATGCCATCACTTTGTAACAGAAGTTGCCAAAAGGGGTCATAAAGGCGGTCTTTGCTCTATCCTCCTCCACCATGGGAATTTGATGATACCCTGAAAACATGTCAAGGAAGCTAAGCGCCTCATGGTAGGCCGTGGCGTCCACAAGCAGATCAATGCGCGGCATTGGGTAGCCGTCCGTTGGGCACGCCCGATTAAGGTTGGTAAAAGTCCACGCACATTCTCCAATCCCCCGACGGCTTTGGGACGAACACGACGTTCGATAGCCAAGTGATATATCTGGCCTCCTCAACAAATCCTGCCTCGAGCAACTTATCGACCTCCTTCCGCAGGGCTTCCTCCTTCTCTTGAGTCAAATTTCTTCGCTTCTGTTGGACAGGTCTCTTACCCTCTTCGACGGCCAATCGACGCGCCGCCACGTCTGGAGACACTCCCGGCATGTCCTGGGGGCTCCACGCAAAAAGCTCCCCGAATTCTCTTAACAAATTGATCAAGGGCGCCCTCATGTACTCCGAAGCCTGTGCTCACACTCGTACCTGTCGGTCCGAGCACCCTTCTTCGATCGACACACTGAACTCATCATCCACGGGCTCTGCTCTAGGCGCTTCCTCTGGGCGAATGTCTATGTTGTTCACCCTTTGCCTCCGGGCTCCTTTCCTTCTCCATTCTTTCCTCCCGCGCATAGCGGGGGGCGCTTTCTCCTCGTGAGATTCCTATGCCTTGTGGGGCAACAAACTTCAACGTTTGGTGACAAGTTGAGGCCACGCCATTGAATAACGCCAAAAGGGGCCTTCCTAGTATGACATTGTACGACGAGGGGCAATCCACTATCCCAAACTCCACTGCATGTGTTACTCGATGCGTCCCATCACCCAACGTTACCGGGAGGCGCACACGCCCTATCACATTGGCAGGCGCCCCCGAGAACCCTATCAGCACTGAGTCAGAGGGGCTCACCAACTCCGGCGCCAATTGCATGCGCTCAAATGTGCTCTTGAACAAAACATCCATTGAGCTTCCCGTATCTACCAACATCCTTTTGACCTTGCACCCTGCAATGACTCCTTGTATCTCCAAAGCCTCCTCTGAAGGTACTTGACATGCTTCATCCGCCTCCTGGTTAAAGCATATTTGGACTGCCGCCTTTGCTTCCACAGACGCAGCCCTGAGGCGCCTAGAACGATCCAACTTATCTCGCAGGTCTATGGTACCAGTTATGGACTCCACTGTGAGTCTAACCCGGCTGGGCTCTCCTTCCTGATTCACCTCGAACGGAGGCGGGGGTATCTCAAGTGGGGGTGGGTGAACCTCAGGAGCCTGTTGCATTGTGGGGAGGATGGGCGCCCTCGGCGCAGTGGGAACAACAGGCGCCAGCCTTGTTTCCCTTGTGACAAATGCACGGTGAGTCCGCTCATCTGTTTTTCTTACAAAGTCGTTGAGCATCCCTCGATCGGCTAGAGTCTGCAGTTCCTATTTCAGTTGGTAGCAATCGGCCGTATGGTGCCCTTTATCCCGACGGAAGTCGCAATATCGGTCAAGGTTTCGCTCATTTGGTTGCCCACGCATAGGTCCCGGCCAACGCACATGGTAACCTCTATCCTTTACGTACTGCAAAATGTTCTCTAAGGAATCGTTGTACTCCGTAAAATTTCCCGCACTCCTGGGTGGAGGGCGCTGACTCTCCATTCTCCTCTGCGGAGCATTGTTCATAATGAATGGTCTGGGAGCCTGGCGCACTTCGATCTCTTCCCTGCCCATGCGCCTTTTCTCTGCTCTTCTTGCAACCAATGTCTCCTCCAAGGCAATAACCTTCTGAACCCTTCGATCCAAGTCTTCGGTGGATACTACGGCCCTCTTGGACAGCACCCGACATGTACAACTCCTCATTGTTCGTGCACTCCTCAAGACACACACCCAGGACTGGCGGTTGCACATCCTTCACGGCCATGGCGACCGAAATCCACCGGTCATAGAACTCTCTAAGCACCTCCCCGTCCCTCTGCTTGATTTTAAACAAGGCGCCTATAGTCAATGTCCGGCGCTTTCGGCTCGCAAATTTGGACAAGAACAATTCCGCGAACTGTTCAAAGCACTCAATGCGCCCCTCCTCTAATTGATGGTACCAATCCAAAACTACTCCCGCGAACGTCGAGGGGAACACCTTGCATAGCGTGGCGTCAGAGGCGGGAGGGTAGTTCCTGCTGGTTCCATCAGGACGCTTTGCGCTAGAGGTTGCCTGATCCCAAAGCGCCTGGTCTGGCGTCTAGGCATCCATGGGTTTTGCTCCTCTCGTCCCGAGGTGGCCAACTCTCCAAGCGCCCTCCACACACCCGGACGCCTAGGTGGTGTAAATTCCACATTCGGCCCTTCATAGTATGGGCGCCTGTACTCGCTAACTTCTGAATCATCCACGAGCCTATCACGCTTCCTCACCAGGGGGCTGTACTCTCTTGCATCGACGGTCTTTCCTCCTTCCAATTCCCTCCGAAGCATGGCTATTGCCTTATCCTGGTCAGCGATGATCTTAAACAGCTCCCTCTTTGACAATGAGTCACTTTCCACAGATGGGCGCTCACGGCTTTCTTCCTCTACCTCCATGCTCACCACTGGGCTAGACCGTTGCCCGCTCCCCTCATGACTGGAGTCCTCCGTTCTCACATCATCAGCGCCCGCATTTCCTTCATTCAAGTCTTCCATCTGCCTATAACCTCTCAGGTCCACGCCCCCCATCTGGCGCACCAATTGTTTAAGCCCAGATACTTCACTCCACCAAGCGCGCCTAATCCGCTGCACCACAGGCGCCTATCCCCTGCGAAACTAGCGCCTAGAGGGCTGGTGCCGCCCGTTAGCACTCCAACGATCAAGTCAGTGCTGATCCTAGAGAGATAAGTGAAGAAATAGAACTTAGTGAGAGAAACCGACCTGAGTAAATGCCACCTACCGAGTGCTATTTATACTACTCGAGCTCCTCGACCAGGCTCTGACCAACTCCTGCCACCAAGCCTTACGTCAGCCAAGCAATAAATGCCTGGTCTGGTCCAACGTCCGAGCGCCTACACGTGGCGCGTCGTCCGAATCCGGTGTCAGGGCGCATGGGGGGACCATCCGCCTACGTGGTGCTTTTCCGACCCTCCTCAGCCGTACTTCTTTGTCCACGAGTCTATTTTGTCGCCATGCGCCCCTTTACCGTTGGTGCCTCCTAGGTCATGTCTCAATGGGCCACTAATGGGCTCCAAACCCATCAGGCTTTGGGCTTAGATGGGCTTATCTATGTTTCCCCAACAGTGACAAATTTTAATTCACTAATATATGAGCATATGAACTATTGTTTCAAAGGAATGTATAAGAGGGAATGAAAAAATTTCATTGGTAGATGAAATTATTGAGAGTGCGTGAAAAAATAGGTCATGTGCATGAATATCATAGAATATGCATATCTAGATTTATTTATTTTCTTTGAACATAAGATATTAGAATTTCTTTCGGATTTTTCAGTAGAAGCACAAGACAATAGATTTAAGTACTAGTAATTATTTTTATTTAAAGAATCATCTCTGGGCGCATAGGTATCCACCATAAGCTTTTCCTCATTTGAACCTCACCCTTAACTTACTTTTAAACTTTAAGGCTATACCGTCCTAAGGTGCTGCTAAATCTAAGGGTCTTGTCAACGTCATGAATGGTAGGAATTGGTAGCATTGCATGGAAATGTAGCTTTTGTGCGTGAATGGTGGGATGCCCCCATTGAGAGAAGAGTCTTTTTACCATACTCGTATAGCATTACGATACATATGTATTGAATGTGTGCGAAATTATTGTTTCCATGATATTATTAGCTTAAAATGATCTACAACACTATGTATATGTCAGTATCATAACCTCCACAGACAAGATCATACTCCTTTGAAAAATAATTATGTAACAAACAAAGTATAGTAGCAAGAACAAGCATATTAGCATGGTAATTAATTGTGAAAGTTAAGCATATTAGAGAATGCTTAAAATACTTGGGGTTCCATTGCTTTGTAAAATAAATTCTAGTCCTTGTTGTAAATTGTAAAAGAAATTCTAATTAATAAAAAGTTTGAGGTCTAGTTCCTGTTGTAAATTGTAAAAGAAATTCTAATACGGCTAGAATAGAGAATGCTTAAAATACTTGGGGTTCCATTGCTTTATAGTTTATACATTTAACTAGCGGTGCTTAGTAAATTTTACCTAGCAAATTTTGTTGGTGTGGTTAGGAATTTCTGAGATAATCAATAGTGTCCAATATATGAGATTAACCATTCAATTTCAATTACCATATTCAAAGTTAATAACTTATACATTTTGCGGTTGATTAAAAGATATTGTGGACCTTCTTATAAAAAAAATATATATTGTGGACCGAGAAAATCTTTTACGATTTCTCTTAGTTGGAAATTGGAATGTAAAGCGCCCAATACAAAAAAAAAAAAAAAAGCGGCATAAGAGAAACAGAGGGGAAAAAAGGGCGGCAATGGTTGTCGGCTTGTCGCCAAATCAAATTGCTTTCCTCCTTGTGAAACCCCAATTTTTGAAAATCCCTCTTCTGGCTCTCAATTTCCGCCTGCACACAACAGGTATGCATCACCATAAATAATTTCTTCTTGCTCAATGCTTTCTCATGTACATCCCTTCTCAGCCATCACCATTGATCAATAATAGGGGGATGCAGGTAAGAACAACCGGAGCCCACCGACGAAGAGATCTGAACAATCAAGAGAATACATTAGAATGATCAGCAAAAAAACTACATCAATTTATATCGAAGTGTTGTATAAACTTGATGACTTTTTGCGACATAATTTTACATAGTGTTGTATAAACTATAAAAATAGGCAACCCTAAAAATATTTGTGAGATAAGTGTTGCGTATAAGAGAACAATTGCAACACATTATTAAATTGAGTTGCGTAAAATATCATATATGCAACTCAAAAAAAAGTGTTGCGATTATATATCGAACGCAACACTTTTAAATGGTGTTGCAATCCAAGAGTTGCAAGAGGTCCATTTTTCCATAGTGTTGGTATTTGTAGTGAAACAATGTATTTAGAAAATTATCCAAACAACATATAAGATGCAAATTATTGTAACAATATCCCAATAGTAGATTTGAAAGAAAATCGAACAAACTCTAGAAAAGAAAGAAATACGTACGAGGAAAGTTATAGTGGATACTAAATTGAGCAATATATTGTCATTGCACAATTTAGTTTTATTTTTATCGATTACAACAACGTAACAATCCCGTCTCACACAGACAAATTCGATCATCGAACAATCTTGTTACTGTGCCACAAATGCAACAATCGGAGTCTTGACAGTATGGATTCCGTCGCTAAAAACCAAAGATACCGACAACATAGTTGTTTCCCTTTCCAGCGCAGCTTCAACCGTAACAACAAACGATTGTTTCTCCCCAATTTTGTTGAAAACGAGCGTCTTTGGTTCGACTCGGACCTTAAGTGCTCCTAGTCCTGGGCCACTGATGGAGACCGTGTAAGTCGTCGCCTCCGCCGATCCCACATTCGTAACGGTTCTATGAAACACTCGAGTCACCGACGCCATAGGTTTTCCCGACGACAGAGCGAAAGAAGGATAGTTCAGATCCCACACCGTCCCATCGGTCGCTTCAGAACAAGAAGCGCTCGAATCTCCTGTAACGAGGCGGAGCTGTGTAGCGTTGTAACCTTGCCCACACAACATCCTGACGTAATCGATCTCCCCTGCATCGTATATCAGTCCTGGATTCACGGCTTTAATCGGATCGATCTGGCCCGACCCGTATGCAAACTCTGCATCACTGTTGTCCTCGACGCTGAGCTGACGAGCTGCAGTGAACATTAATGTCAGACATGAAGGACGTACATCATATATCTCATAAACGAGTGGGAAACCATGAAGATTATATATATTGCGTAGCTAGAAAGCTACCTATACCTGTTGTCATTAGAGCAGACTTGATGGCGGCTGGAGACCACGTAGGATGAAACGATTTAACGTAAGCTGCTGCTGCTGAGGCATGGGGACAGGACATGGAAGTCCCGGAGATTATGTTAAACGGTACCGTTCTCGTGTCTCCTTCCTGTCCCGTCACTGTGGTAGCTTCAGACCATGCTGCCAGGATATCAACTCCAGGTGCTGTAAGGTCAGGCTGCGATCGAGTACATCCACGAGGGCATTAAGACTAAGCCTAATTAAAAAAAGCAAACCAAAAACAAAATCGAAGGATTCATTACCTTGAGAATATCTGTTGTTATAGGGTTGGGGCCCCTTGAAGAGAAATCGATCACATGAGGTGATGAATTATCGATGATGCCACGAGTCTTGAATATCAGTCCAGTTGGATCACTAATCCAAAATTGCAAGAACAATAGTAAGCATTCAATCAAGACTTAATAATTCTCCTAAACACGTACGATTGAAACCGGACCGAAATAAGCTAGTCGGTCGTCAGGGACGACAATTAATGGAGCGGTTTTCTTTCAACCGGCCATCACATTCTCATTTCGAAAAAGTTCAAATTCATGTCTGCCTCATACCCATATAAAAAGAGGTTTTGCAACTCTTTCTCCATGTTTAGTTTTTGGATCGATAGGTAATACCGATCCGTAAGAAAATCACTGTTTTAGGAATATGTTAAGGTGCAAACTCTTTATAAAGGGTACGTTGTCACAAACTCTTCATCAAATTCAAAGCATCTAATCCTACTAGCTACATCCATCCACCATCCGATCTCCTCGTTCTTAAACCAACGGTCAGGATAGTTTTGGAACAAAAACATAACCCCACATGTGATTACTACCCTTAATATACCAGTTAATTACCTAGAACTAAGTCAACTAACTATAACTACCGGTCAACCAGCACGGTTAAATGCCAAACCGAAACAACGACCTATTACGGTTCAAACCCAGCCGGAGCCGGTCATCACCGGTCACATGCATGCAATGCAATGCAATGCAATGCAATACTAGGACGACGTGTAATTTTTTTTAGAATCATCTACCTGGTTGAGTTGATGTACTCCAAAATTTCAGCACTGTCAGCATTGGTCAAGACGGAAACGGGTAAAAGAAACGAAAACGCCGCGTCAAGTGGAGTATCGGGAGGAAGGCTCATCGTTGAAGCGACGGCACCCACTCGAGCTTGTTCATCTCCTCTGCTCACACCGTCACAGTGCACCATTTTCCCCCGCACCAAATCCCTGTCCAAGCTTCCTGCACCGCAGCTCCTCGAATCCGATCCCGACGTCCGATTCAGCGCGTCTCCGCCATAGATAAGACCATACATCCTGCTGGGCTCGTAAGTATTGATCGAGCCTCCCAGATAAGTCCTGCCGTTACCCAGCTTCACTCCAGTAACGAACTTCCTGTCAGCAGCAAATGAATTGGATCCATTAATAGGGTAAATTGGTTGGCGGGAGTCATAGATGAAATGGATTGGTGGATTTATGGATTGTTAGATTGATTAATGAATCCAAATGACGTCCAAAACTTATATCAGTTTTGAAAAGTTTAGGTAGTACTAGAATGTCGTGATAAAAAATTCAGGTACTAAAATATAATTCTCCAATGACATTTTTTCATATTAAAAGATAAAATTTCATGTACTGAAACATAAAAAAGTATGGATACTTAATTGTAATTTGCCAACTATCCATGAATCTAATTAGGGATGGCAATTGGTCGGGTTGGGACGAGTTTTTGCCAAACTCATGGGTTTATCTGCCAAAAAAACTCGAGGTGAAACCAATAAGGTTTGAAAAACTCAAACCCAACCTAACCCGCTGGGTATTCGGGGGTTCGTGGGTACCCATGGATTTTTGTGTAAAAAATTAACTACAACAAGTTTCTTTCAAAATAAAAGTCTAAAACATAAATTTTCTCATACAAATTATCCATACAAAAAACACCAATTTAGAGCATACAAGCAAACCGCAAATTATCAAAGACAAATTGTTCAAAATTAAAGATAAACATCTATAAACAACATGATTACTTGAAAGCTCCTTGTCAACTAAACTTTTTCACTCTTCACTCCATAATATCAAATTACACATGTCTCCACAAACATAAAGAAGATTAGTTGTTTAAGAAAGATATATTGCTTAGAATATTAAATATAACGAAAAAATTTATATGGGTGTAAGTGGGTACCCAAGGGACGGGTATACCTAAACCCAAACTCAATCCAACCCGTGAACAGTGTGGCGGGTTTAAACCTGAACCCGGCGCAAAACCCGTCAACACGGGGTTTACCCGTATTGACTGGGTTGGGTCGGGTAGCGTACCCGTGGGTTCGGGTTTTGTTACTATCCCTAAATCTATATATCTAATCCACCCGTGGGTTTGGGTTTTGTTACCATCCCTAAATCTATATATCTAATCCATTAATCCCCAGTCCAATTAGATAAATTTGAATTAAATGGATAGGATTTAAAAGAAATAGATTAGTTGGATATTTAAGTGGATGAATTGAATTAAATTGGTGGATTGAATTATAAATTGAGAGTAATTTACCTGTCAATGGTGCTGGCAGCAACAGAAAGCGACCAGGGAGAGACGTTCGACACCGTTCCGGCAGCCGGGCCGGAATTCCCGGCCGAGTTCGACGTCAGGATGCCGTTCTTCATGGAGTGGAAGGCACCAATTGCTATGGAGTCCTGGAAATAGTCCGTCGGCGCGCCTCCGATGGACAGCGATATGATGTCGACTCCGTCGGAGATGGCGTCGTCGAAGGCTGCCAGGATGTCGACGTCGGAGCAGCCGAGGGTCCAGCATATCTTGTAGACGGCGATCCGGGCGGACGGGACCCCGCCGCGAGACGTCCCGGCGGCGAGGCCGAGGAGGCTGGCGTGAGTCACGATGTTTCCTGCTGCGGTGGATGCGGTGTGGGTGCCGTGGCCTTCGGTGTCCCGCGGAGATATGGTTTCGCCGTTGTTGACGTCTTGGCCGGCGTGGTAGAATCTGGCTCCGATTATCTTGCTGTTAAGTGTTAGATTTGTTATGATATGTAGTAAGTCAATATTGTACTCTATGAGTCAGGATTTGAATTTCGGAGAGGACGTGATTATTCATATTTATCGCGAAAAATGAAGGAAAATTACAGGAGGAAAATTAATAATGCTATTGGAGATAGTCAAATTACTATAAAATATGAAATTTATGAAATGTTATGTTTAAGATAAATGAGTACATTACTATAAAATACGAATACAACACTAATCATGGATTTCAATGTGTAATAGGTTTTTCAATATTTTCATGTTTTGAAAATGAATATCCATTGATATTATTGCTTGAAAAATATTAATTAATTTTATACCCACAAAAAAATTCACAACTTTTGTATGTTAATTTTTCAAATATAAAGAATTTTGTACGTAATTTCAAAATTTTCGAGAAGACCGGAGTCCCCTTGGAACCTACGTAGCTCCACCCCCGATAGCTATATATAATGAAGAAAGAAAGAGGAGGTTGTAGGAAGCTCACTTGTTGCAGGTGAAATTGGAAGAGGATTGGCAGGTCCCCTTCCATTTCTGTGGAGGCGGGCCGTACCCAGAAGCGTTGAAGCTCTGAGATTCCGGCCAGATTCCGGTGTCGAGCATTCCGATGATAACGTCGCTCTCCACGGTCGCTCTTGCGACAGTTCGAGGGAAGCCTATGAAATCCCATGATCTGGTCGTGTGTAATTGCCTCAACTGACTAGGGAAAACGGACACTACACCTTCGTGGCCTATATACAAAATGAGCTAATTATGACAAAATCTTACAGGAAATAGAGGGGGTGAAAAAAAATTCATATGTATAGTTCGATATTTCATGAATTCACACACCAGACAGTTTCTCTGTCTCAGCCTTTGTCAGCTTGGCGGCAAAGCCACTGAAGCTCTTGCTGTAGCTGTGAACCAAGGACTCGGCAGCAAGGCTCACGCTATGGAAATACAATAATTCGAGTAATGATAACATCAATCACACTTTTAAGACCAAAACTCGAGCCAACGCGATCACCCGTGTTCTACGATAAATAGAAAAAAACCGGTAGGCATTTTTTTACCTGCCGGTGACCTTTTGAAGGAGGCTAATGTGAACAGCAGAAGCAGATGTTGTAGTTTCAATGTTGCGTGAGCGATCGCCCATGTAGACTATGTACACCTGCAAGTTGAGAGTCCAACTTGTGCAGTTAGGACACTGGGAATTGTATGAAAGTAAGTTTTGGATATAATACATGCCTGTCTGTCCTCAGGGGAGCTCTCATTGCCACAACAACCCAGTATCATCGAAGAAGCGATGAGGGCGGCGGCCATAAGCCATGAAAATTGGGAACTGGGAGTCTTCATTGCAATGGTAAGGTGTTGTTTATGTGTTCTTCTTCTGCATTGAGGGTTAGTAATTAAATGTGGTTTTTATAGGGGTGGGATTTACTGCTGCATTGTGAGTTGTGACACTTCCATAAAAGGGGCCGGAACATCGTTGTGCTGGAGAGTAAGGCCGCATCGATTTATGGGTATCCTTCCTCGCCGACAACAGCTAGAAATTGAACCAGCTAGCTAGCCGCCAGAAGTTGGCCGGAGAGAATTAAAGTCCATTGTAGAGCTCGTCTCTGTGGCTGTTCACCAACCAGCATATCGTTGTTAACGAAATGTGGGTGTTTGATGCTCGTTGTCTACGAAGTCGTTGTTGATGGACTTAAATATATATATATAGGTGGCTACTTCGGCGCACTCACTTTTTTGGACTCTAAAAGTGTCCATAATACATCAAATTTTGAACTTGAATTAGTACTCTCGATCTAATATGATGATATGACATAAAATCATAACAAATCAATCTATTACCCTAACCCATTAACCTTCAATTTTGAATCCCAATTCAAAATCCCAAATTGTAAACCTAAACTCTAACCCTATATCCCTAAATCCTAAATCCTTTGAATTTAAGTAAATTTTGAATGATTTTTTTTCCAAATTCATGTGCTTCTTGTTCATAATATCGTAAGCAACAATTGATACCGTTTTGACATGAATCGCATGCTCAGAATGAAAATTATGAGGCGGGTGCACTGAGTACACCCAAAAAAGTGTTAAACCTTTTTTCATTGGACTTCAACCTAACTGTACCCGGTTTAATTATATCGATTAAGAGGTTAAACCCTATGGATACGACCCACCACCGCCCTAACCAATTTCCAGTCTCCCTTCTACGATCCCTCATTCGTCTTGGAGGGTCTCCTCTTAGTTCGAAGTTCGATCATAAGCTGCCTATCAAATCTGAAATCTCCAACAAAATCATCGTTTCGAAACTCAAATCATTTTATTATTTGATGCATATTCGATTTAGCCCCCTATCCAATCTCAAATTCCCAACATCATCATGTTTCATACCCCAAATCTATGTATCCACATTCGAAGAGAAGATCCCCATCCAATATGAAATTCTCACATAATCATCGTTTTGAACCCCAAATCCTTGCATCCACAAATCGACGTTTTGTTCCTCGGCATTTTATTTCCTGGCGGAATTTACTCACCTATCTCTTTCTAACACGATTACGGCGACCATGTCTATTATTGTGTTCATCAAACTTTTCATTTGCAAAAGAACCCTTGAAAGAGGTTGGCTAACCCTAGAGTTCATGTCGCTAGTGCTTTGTCATCTTGTCTTAGCGTTATTATCATTTACAAAATAACTTCTATCTCTCGGTGAAATTAAGGTTTCCTTATATGGAGTGTTCGTCTCGCCCAGAGGATTGAGGATGAAGATGAAGAAGACATAATTTGATTCGAATTGGATGGAGAGGTCTCCTTAATTTGTGTTTATGTATTAACGGTGCGTTTAGGACTAATTCTAGTTGGACTAGGTCTGATCATTGAATTTTGCAGGCTTTTAAATAACATTCAAAAGTTGGCTTGTACATGATCCATGGCACCTAGTTTGTTGATAATAGATACTGAGTTCCGGATTGTCATTAGGTTGGGCCTTTGATAATTGTCTATCTCAGTGGCGGTTCTTTGTTTTAGTTGATTTTATATTTTTTTTTCATCTGCTTCTGCTTCTAAAATCCTGATCATGCCTTGAGTTCACGCAATTTAAACATAATTGTGTGTTCATCTTTTTTTTTTTTTTGGGATTTGGTAAATGGTAGCGTGTATTTTTACACATTTAGCGGTACGAGGTAAACTACAATCCGTCCAATTTAACTCTTCATTAATTGGCCTTATTCTACTCTCTCACTGATTGCCCTCTTTATGCAATGCACTCCTACATAACAAACCTCTTGTAGACTAATTAGAGGCTTGTGGTTGGATACTGAGTGAAGATATTTTTTTAATTTATGTTTTGAAACGAAAGTTAGAATTTCACTTTTGAAGTACCTATGTACTTTAGTTGGACAATTATTTTCAAAATGTAAAATTTTATTAGCGTATATGTATACGATTGTTGTATAAGGTGTTGATGTTAAAGGAAATGGGTACTGACTGCTTAGGGTATTAGGTTGTTGATGGTATAGAGTATATGGTGTATGGGTAGGTTATAAGGTGTAAGGTGTTGATGGTTTAGAGCATATGGTATTGATTGGTTAGGGTGAGGATAGGTGTTGTTTTATTTTTTCTCGATTTTATATTTTCTTTATATCTGCTTATAAATGCTGATCATGCCTTATTACTAAAAAAACTTAGACATAATTATTGTAGCGTGACACATTTATCGGTACAGATAAAATGATTTGGTGTGTGCAAGGTAGGTTCCTATTAACTATTTTGCCTTGTTGGTTATCCTTGTTGGTGATCCCGGCCATTAGCGATTCGCCACATATGGAATGAAAATTAGTTAGAGTTATTAAGTTAATCTTTCTTCATTTATTCTTCGATTTGAACCTGCATGTTTTTGCTCCGAAGGATTTTGTAGTGGCGTGGTAAAGACAATCCGTCCAATATAACTCTTTATTAATTCCCCCTTTTCCACTCTCTCACTCTCCCACGAAGCAGGATCAATCCACTATGATATATTTACCGTTCATTTTAACCCTTCACTTAATAAGAAAGCGAAATTTCACATGATGATTATAAATGTCATGTAGCTTAATTGGTTAATTGTCCTTTAGTTGCTGAGTTAATAAAGTAGAGGTTTGTGGTTCGATACTTAGCGACTATCAATTTTAAATTTATGTTTTGAACAAAAAGTTAGAATTTCAATTTTAAAGTATCTATGTACTTTAGTTGGGTAAGAAAAGTTAATAAACAATAAAATAGAAAAAGAAAATAGTTATCTATGTGGCATTGCTTGAATAATTCCTAATTTAGCAATCTTGCTAGTTTAGAAAGAACTCCTCCATCCCTAAGACCATCTCCATCCTTGCAATCAGTAAGCAATTTCTAAAGTGGGCCCTTATCGCCACATCACCATTCAAGCAAAAAACTAGAGGTGTCAATCGGGCGGGTTCGGGCTGGGTTCATTCGGGTTGCGGGTTGGTCGGGTTGCGGGTTGGTCGGGTTGCGGGTTGTTAGGGTTGCGGGTTGATTGGGTTGCGGGTCAATCAGGCTGCGGGCCAATCGGGTTGCGGGTCGGGCGGTTCAGGTTGCGGGTTTTATGGACCAGCACATCGCGTTACTTTTTAGTGATTACTAGTAAGTCGTAAATCGTAACTACATGAAGCTAGCACAATACAGTAAAGATCTATTAAGGAGACCACCAAGACTTGATACTATTAATAGGTATAGAATATATAATCAAATGGACGTTTGTATGATTCACTACAAGAAAACAACTTTCTGGTCACGGGATCTTATTCACGGGAATTTTTCCCATACTAAAATGTGTACTAATGATCACGGGAAAATGTCTGGTAATTAACTATGTAACTCTAATCATCAGAATAAGTTCCCATGTTTTTCGCTTTTCATTTCCCGTGATTAATTGTTAGTCACGGTTAATTACCGTGAACAATGTACAAATTTACCTTTGTAAATTTTAGATGAAAATCAAGAAAGATTATAAGAATAATAAAATTTTGCTTCCTCGTTATTTTAAAAAGGAGTTTTATCAATGCAATTTTTCTTCTTTTAAATGAGACAATTCAGGAATTGAGATTCCAAAAAGTCACACAGCTGGTCTCAAAGTTCACGGTTATTGTTGAATTAATAAATTGGGATGCATATGATTTTGCCTAAAAATTACAACATATCAATTTAGTTGTCATTTTTTCCCCGCCACACAATCCTAAAATTTTGGTTTCCCGCAATCTGAAAATTTGGCTCCAGAAAATCGCTCCACAATCTGAAAATTTTGGCTCGCACTCTATTTGTTTTACCAAGAAAAATTTAAACTGCACGCATAGAAACTAGAAAGTATAGCCAACCTCACCAACTCCCAATAAACCTTCTGATAGACCAATAACTACACATGTTTCTACCCCTATTCTTGAGCCGTTTGAGATGTCGATTCCCGTGTTTTAGGTCGATTTCACGCTAGGTTGTTCGTGTTTGTGATATTTCAGGTCCTAGCACATGAATGAAGGCATGGGAACGAGTTCGGGGTCGATTGGACGAAGATTGGACGTTTGGCGAGAAGCTGGGAAGCCACATGGGCACCATTGCACCTCACACGGCCGTGTAGGGGCCCCTTGTGGCCGTGTGAAGGCTCGGTAAAAGCCACACGGGCAGCCTGGGGAGCCACACGGCAATGTGGCCTCTGCACGTGCAGCTTGCCTGGTTGCCCACTAATCGAAACTCCGTGTTTTGCAAAGCCACACGGGCAGCTGGGGGAGTCACACGGCCGTGTGGCCTGGCCGTGTGAGTCGGGAATTTCTGGTTTTAAGCCAATTTCGAGACAAAGGAGAGGGAGAGCTGGGTTTTTGGATCCCAAACACCCAAGGGACGAACTCTAAAGAGAGAGCGACTTGGGAACATTCTTGGAGCTATTTTGGAGGATTTCTTCGCCATTGGAGCTCGGGAATCAAGCTTGGAGATGGAGATTGAAGATCTAGATCAAATTTCTGCAGTCTCTCTCTTCTCTATGGAGTAACTTCCCTTCACTTAGGTTTTGAGGAACTTTAGTTCCATGTGTTAGGATCTTTCATGTATGATATTTTGGATGCTATATTGTTTGATTATAATCGATTGAGGCATGATTTATAGAGTCAATTGAAGGCAGATCATCTTTTCTTGATTTTCTGCTTTAACCTATGATAGATAGAATCTGATTAGGTTAAGAGAGCTTCCTTGGTTGATAGTGGTGAATTGGTTGTGCGAGAGTCAATCAATTCACTGCTTTGTACTGGAATTCATTCCAGTAGTGGAGATCTCTGTGAATCACCTTAGCAGTCTATCCCGGTGAAGGCTAGTCGCTTGCTGGGTATTCTGTCTAAGAGGGCTTGGTCAGCT